CAAGTTTCACGTCAATAGGTTCTATCCGAAAGAATTCAGCGGGGAAGCCCTTGGTTCCCTGGACTATTAATGAAATATGTCCGCAGTACGGTTGCGTGTACTTTGGGGCTCCATTGATCCGGTGGCGTGAGATTAAATCAGGGACCTCCGGAAAACGCCGGACTTTATTTGTAAAAACAATAACTTCACAGAAACGGGCTCATTCAGTAATACACTAGCCACAAAAATCAAAGTATAAAACAAAGTTCCTTTCATTATGATTCCAGTGATTGAAATTGTCACTTTTGCCAAAAATCAGAGGATAAATTTTGCATCTCTTATTCATTATTTTAAATCCATATTTTTTTCATAAAAAAAATGTTAAACGCAGCTACCTCTACCGCGGTGGTTAAAAATCGTAAATCTTTGCAAATAAAAAAGTTGTCCGACAGTTATGATACATTTATTGAACTTTTTATAGATTAGCACTTCCAAATACATAATTGTTCAACTTAGATGACGAAATCACTACCACGTCGAAGTAACATGTGCTGATACGAGGTTAAAAACATGAATGAATAAACCTATACGTAATAAACTAATTTTACTACTGCCTACAACGCACCTCCTGTCAATTATTCTTAGAACCAAACAGTCCCGGAACTACACCTACCAGCTAAAATATTTAAAAGATTATAACAATTGCGGCAGATTACGGTTAGTTGCACACACTCGATTAGCAAATATTTAACTTCCGAGAAGTTCTATATAATCGTCAAAAGTATGTATCAGTCAGAGGCATATTTTTTAAATTGTTGTTTACATTTTAGGATATGCTAGAAACTCGTAAATAAGCCTATATATTTTTGTACCTTAAAAGTTAATGATCATGACTCGATACTAGTGCATAATTTTGCCAACTGTTCGTCCTATGGGCCATACAGTTTCTAGTCGTGCTAAAATAGAGGTGACTATAACTATTATAATAAATGGTGAAGAGATTTTTTCATCATGGAGATGACTTGCTAGTTCCTGTTTCAATATTCTTACCTATTCCTATGCGGATGAGTCATTCCACAAGTATGTTACATTTGTAATACATTACAAGCATCTTCTGAATAAAATTTGCCTTCGGAAACAAAAATTTCAAGTATTAATAGAAAGAGGTAGGTAATATTTAAAATATTTTACTAAATATACCTATCCATTTTCTAAAACTCCTCTGCTGATTAAATAATCATAGTGAAAATCATGCAATCATAGCTTCACATTCAAACACATGAACAAAATCGACATAAAGAACCCATGACATCTATAAATACAGTCAGATTTTGCTAAACGGTAGCAGTTGATTCGTACTTAAAAATATTGGCATTATTATAAAAGAAAAGATTAATTTTTCCTTTCTTTTTATAATTTTTTCCATTGCAGTTACATCATAACGAGCGTTCAAATAAAAACGTGGTCAAAGTTGGCTCTGACACATTGGACGTAGGGAGTAGCTTATAGCGACCAACTTAACCTCATTTCTCAACGAGCTGTATAGCAGCTGGCAGTTTCAATAACGTTAATGACTATATAACTTTATTTTAAAGAATAATCGTGATAACAATAACAAACAATTAAAGGAGCTGCGGAAAGTGTCCCCCTCCTTGTTATAACAATAAATTAAAGCAGCTGCTGAAAGTGTCCCCCTCCTTGTTCCAAGCACTTTTCACACCTGTTCCTCAAAGAATTAAAGACATTTTCTAAGATGCTCGGGGTATTGTTAATTTCACGAATCTTGTCTATAAGTCGAGCCTGCAGATGGTTTAAATCAGGAATAGGCAGTTCAAAAATAGTGTTTTTAAGGTAAGGCCACAAAAAGAAATCACACGGCGTAATATCACATGACCTCGGTGGAAATTCATGTTCAGCATTGAGACTTATTAGTCGATTTTGGAAAACTTCCCTCAACATATTCATCGTCTCGCCTGCCGTATGTGCCCTTGCGCCATCTTGTTGAAAGTAAAAGTTTGTAATTTCGTTTTCTTCCAGCTGGTTAACAAAAGGAGCGATAATTTCTTCTCTATACCTTTGCGCAGTAAGAGTACCATTAAAAAAAATAGGTCCATAAATCCTCCTTCGATTGAGAGCACACCAAACTCCAATTTTTTGAGCGTGTAGAGGGCCCTCGACAAAAAAGTTATCTGGTTTTTCAGAAGACCACATTCTCATATTCTGTGAGTTTACGTAACCACTTAAATGAAACCAGGCTTCATCAGAAAAAAAGGTGATATTATGAAGTTCACCGTAGTTGTTTAAAAACCATTCACAAAATACAGCCCGTCGCGGAAAATCAACTTCATGAAGTTCTTGCTGACAAGTTAAACGATAGGAGAACAAACGCAAATCTTTTTTTAACACTGTGTGGCAGGTACCGACTGATACTCCCACCATTTGTGATAAAACACGTACAGAAGTTCTTGGCGCATTTTCCATTATTTGTTGGACATTTTCTTTTAATTCTTCAGTCCGCTTTTTAGGTCGGCCGCTTCCTTCTTTTCTTGTTACACTGCCCGTTTCACGAAAAACATTAACACAACGCTGAACTGCACTTTGAAAAATTTTGTACTCAACAACGCCGGGAAATTGATTTTGAAATTCTATGAAACATTCCTCAATAGAATACTTCCATATTCCATCAATCTTGCGTCCATTTCTAAAGTAGGACTCTATGATAAACACTTTTTGTTCTTGAGAAAACACCATTTTAAACGCTTTTTAAAACGAAAATATTCAAATTGATAGCGGCGATATAGCGCTTTGACAGATGACGTTTAAGTTCATTTGCTATACGCTACGCCCTACGTCCAAATTTTCAGAACCAACTTGACCACGTTTTTATTTGAACGCTCGTTATATACAATATATATGGTTTTCAAATTGGTCGTCAGTCAATTGAAGATGATCCTCGACCAGGAAGGCCTTCGACTTCAACAGATGACAACCACGTTCAAAAAGTCAAAGATCTCGTGCGAAAAAACGCATTTCAAATGAACACTGTTTCGCTTGTCGTTTGATTTAAAAAAGTCAGCAACCTACCGCTATAAAGTTTCAAAGCCTGAACACTTTTTAAAACATCTTCAGCCAACATTAAACTTCAAACAGTACAGAATATGCTACAATTTAACCAATGTTGTGACTTTTACCTGATTCTAAATGATCGATCGTCGATCTTCCTCAAATCGACAACGCGTTTTCTAAATCGCTGCCAGTTTTGAGTTCCACAAACTTCGCCACAGAATACTTTGCGGTAATCGCTAATAAGTCACAGTTTCGAAACGCGAATCCTTATCTATTCTGAAAATATTGCGTTGCTGTAGGAAACCGGCCTAAAGTAAACGGACAAAAACCGTCGATGTTGGCGCAATTGGTATTGAGCAAGTTTGCGACAATAAAACACTTGCAGCGGAAAGGTGAAACTGCGTCTGGCCGTATTTGGCCATTATGCAAACGCCCAGTTCCAGAGGTACCGCACAAGTCGCCATTTGCATAAATTGTTTATAAAAAATGCCCCAGAGGCAAAGCATTCTTATAAAAACAAAATTCTTTATATTTTTTGAAGGAAGATTACTTGCATCGATTTTTTTTTACCAAAAACCCGATAACAACATCTTAAGGGTAGGCAGAATTTTTGAAAACCCTGTTTAGATTGTCTGTACGATCATTAGTTTTCGAATAATAAATTATCAAAGCTAAAAAGACCATTTCGGCTTTGAAGGACGATAACTTAGCGACAAATTATCGTACAGAGATCTTGAACAGCTCTCTTTAAAGAGGATGAATGAAACTTAAAGAGCTGACATGTGGGAGTACCAAACAAAAATTATTGAATGCCCTGGACCTCTCGAAAGAGAAGCAAACATTTTTTTTTAGCTGGATTTCCCATTTTTTTATCCACAAATTTTTCTGACCAGCGCATTTTTCAAATTCGCCCGGTATATGAGTCAACATTTACCATTAATAAAATACCCGCTCAGGCGTAAACATACCGAAATCTCCTTATCGGTAAGAACGGCAGAACTAGTGTAACACTTCAATAAAAAACCATTCATAGGGCGTAAACTTGTTTTTGCCTTCCATATTTGGTTACCGAATAGATTGCCCATTGTTCCGAATTTTCTCCTGCCTCATTTCACACAATTCTTTACTGTTACTCGTGAAAGTTAGGAATACTGTTAAGTTCAATTATACGGAAACTCATAAATGTCTTTAAAATATAATCTCCAGAAGCAGCAAAGATCTGCAAGTCAGAAACGTTCTATTTTGTGTTCTATTAATGGACCGAGCAGGCCATTATCATTAAATAACAAGTGAAAAAATTTACGAACTTAATATAACAAATAACAAGGCATTTATTACTTACGCTAGATTTTATGTTAACTGTAAATACGATAGTAAAATGAATGGCCGATAAAATTAAATAACAATATTGAAACGCTATGCTAGAGCTGTCAAATAACAAATTCCCTGTGCCAATTCATCTAACGCATAAATCTAAAAATAATAGGCACAAATAAATAAGGAGCATCGGCTTCTTGCCCCCAATCGATGTTACCGCAAAGGTTTAGTAGCAATCGCAATATTTTCATAATGAACCAATAAATATCTAAAGGAGATGTTATGTGGGCCACAGTTTTTCAATACAAATTCTATGTTAGATCTAAAAAGAGTACACGCGTATAAATAAGGAGCATCGGCTTCTTGCACCCAAGGGAAGTAACCATCAGTGTTTATTATAAAAATAAACTGATAAGTATTAAAAAAGTACTGATGCACCTAGAAACTATTGAAAATATTCGACAGCTTCTTGAAAAGATCGGGGTATCATAAAATTATGTAACAGCTAGTGAGAGGCAGCATTTCAGATATTTCACGATAACAGTCCCCATAAGAAAAAGCGCCAGACAAGTCACACTTCTCGAAATAACGTTCCGGATCTGTCAACGCGCACGAAAAGGCATAAATTAGGAACAAACCTGATTGGGATGGACGTGCCAACTCCTTCGCTTTCCCTGCCGCTGAAGGTAATTAAAGTCGCCGGGAATCTCGGTGAACTGCGGTGAGGAGACCCTCGACTGGCCGGTATCTTCGAACACGCCGGGGATCAGCCGCAGCCTATTAGCCGGACAAATGCCCTAAAAAAAAAAATAATAAAATACATTCCACGATGCATTATCAATGAATTAACGAACGCATAAATAAACGCTACCGGAGTCATTAAAATCGCTTACTTTAAACAATCGATTTTTAATTTCAATAACGGTAAGGAAAAAATCGGATTAAAACTAAACTAAACAAAACAAACAAATACTTATAAAGAGGTCTATTCTGTAATGATTCCTTTAATATTTTAAGGGTTTTGAAAACTATTTTCGTATTCTGTAAGTTTATCGGCTAAAATTTTAAAGGATTCCTTTAAAATTATCCTGAAAGGGATGACATTTAAATTTAAAAGTGGCAAGTTTGCAACTCTCAGGAGATAGCTAATACAATGCGAAACATCGCCTTGCTGTTAAAAATGTTGTCACCGACGTTCTTGGTGGTGAAAAGTTGAAATATTTAGAATTATTCAATTTTCGTGGCTGAAAACATACATAGGTATTGAATTTTCGAAACCAAGAGAGTTGCGCCAACCAAATTTGAACAGCACATAGCTAATACAATGCGAAACATCGCCTTGCTGTTAAAAATGTTGTCACCGCCATTTTTGGTGGTGAAAAGTCGAAATATTTGGAATTAATCAATTTGCTTGGCTAAAAACATACATAGGTATTGAGTTTTCGAAACCAAGAGAGCCGAAATATTTGTAATTATTCACTTTTCATTTATATCCCAAACATTATCACCAAGCTTTACTGGTTCCTAACGATTACCAGAAAATCTAAAGGCAGTCACTGATCTCGCAAAATAATAATGACTACGCCAAAAACTTAACCTTTTTTTATAACTGTACTCTACCCCAGAAAAAAAGTACAACATTCCAGGTAAGCGAACGTCGATAAACTTCCAAGATTTAGTCGCGTCGATCAAGACGTTTTAATTGGTGATTTCAATATCGCTTCAATACATCTCCGCCGGCTGTCACATTTTTTTCCGGAAGAAAACAAATGCGACAGAAAAAACTTATTCACATTCTCGGCTCTAAGCGTAATTAGATTGAGCGGATATTTATCGCCCGAGCAAAAAAAATTGACGAGTCAGTTCGGATTTGTCTCGCAGACCAGAAAGTTCCATTCGGATTTGGCTCGACTGGTCGAATATTAAGCAATCCAGGTCATTGTCAGTCTGTGTGGTGACTGCAAACCAGATTATAAAATTCGTTTATACTCTCTCCAGATCGTGCTCTTTTTTTGTTTTCGTCATATTCGCCTCTCGTAATTATACAGCGTTTTTATTTATTATCGATCGTAAACCGTTTCAAAATGTGGCGGAGGCCCCATTGAGATTAACTTTAAGGAAGATTTAACAGTGAATATGTAAAATTTTCACCTAATGAGGTGATGAACTCATAATAATCCTGAATTAAGACATTTCAGTATCTTTTCAAACTTCATTTTAAAACTGACGAAAACTACGTTCCTTGGAAAGTTTTTGATAAGCCGCTATCACTCGTTTCAAATATTCTGCCTTCCACTTTGAAAGAACGCAAAAATATCTTCACAACATTTTAATACCTGCTTAAGTAATTCTCTGAGACATCGTTGGGAAATTTTGCAATTACAGATGATGACCAATCGCAAGGTTGTTTACAGAACAACTTCCTATTCCGCAACAAAACATTGACCTCCTTTTATAATGAACCTAGAATTTAACCAGATACAGAAATTCGCCATATTTCGAGTTATTGTGACAACCCGCGCGAGTTTTTCCATCAAAATCTATAACCGTAGTTATTACGCCACTTCAAATATTCCACTATACGCTTCGTCAAAGTCCTTGAAAACGATTAACAATGTACGTGCGACAAAGAAATTTGTACGATGTTTTGAAGAAATCGCAGTCACAGCACATGTGAGTTTAAAGACGTTTCCTAGAAGCAGAAATTTGAACCAAACGTATCAAGTTCTCGGAACCACGTGTGTTGCTGGAAGAATATCTATACTCTACTCTACGTAGGCAAAAGATAAAGCAGAGCTAAATAGATAGAGAAAGAACCATTAATTATTTAGTTTATTATCTAAATTGCAAGAAGTTAGTTCTTTTATATTTTCAACGGTAAAAAAGAAACTCATTTTCGAATCGAAAACGTCATTGCAAAGTTTAATGAAACCGGTTTTTTTTTAAGAAAACTGTGTTGTTTTCTACAGTGTAGCTTCTTTTTTTACTTTCGGACTACAATACTGATACCAAGGAATTGCCGCTACCACTTTAAGTGAGGCATGGCTTAATTACCGTATATCTTTGCAAATGGAATAATCGTCCAGATATAAATGATCGCGGCTATTATAATTTCAGCCCACGACACCGCCATAATCGCGAGAACCAAATAAGCCATTACCCTAATGGATAAAACATGTCGTCCTGACGCCGAATGGATGTTCTCTTAAAACAATACAGGCGGTGTCATAAGCGACATTAATTACTGTCAACGATCAATCACGACAATTAACAGCCTCTTCTCGTCTGCCTTTATATGGGAGTACGATGTATTAAAAAGCCATTGTTTTCGGGCTTCGATGGCGCTTTACGGGGAAAACATTAAAGACGTCGACAGTTTGTGAGTTTGAGCAAAATAACTGACTCGTGGACACTTCAGGCGGTGGGGTTACGTTTTTGTTGGGGTAAATCCAATGTTGCTAACTAATCGAAACTTTCTGTTATGTCAGTAATAAATAAGCGCGTGGAGTGTTACGAAATGAAAGAAAAAAAATTTATATTTGTATATACAGGGTGTTAATGAACCTTTATGAAGTTGGCAGCCAAAAGTTAGCAGCTAAATTTCCGGAAATACCCGATACGTTTTGTCAAACTTTAACGGCGTATTCTACCGATGAAATTAATCAAGTCTTGCCCTATAATAATTTTTGATAGGACGCTTCCCTACGGAGATACAGGGTGTTAAAAGTTTCAAACATTTATTCCTCGATTTTTCACCAGCAGTACCTAGATGTATATGTTTTCAGCCACGAAAATTGAATAATTTCAAATATTTCGAATTTTCACCACCAAGAACGGCGGTGACAACATTTTTAACATTAAGGCGATATTTTCCATTGTCTACAGATTCCAAAATTCTGCCTTCCGAATGACCTGTACGAACAGGTCTTTCTCTTACTCGACGTTTTGGTAGCGACAAACATGCAGTTTCACGAGCTCGATGGTGAGCGCTTAAAAAAGTATTCCCTGTTGGACAACGTCGATTTGGAAAAGTCTGTCTATAAAGTCGTTCAGCTTGTCTAGCATTGCCATTCGCTCTACCGTATGTAAAATGTATATTTGCAAATTCAACGTTTGTATAATTGAATACCATATTTTTTTTAATTAAAATCTGTTTTTAGTTATATGAAAAATAACAAACTTTTTGCAGCACACAAAACAGTGGCATTGTATAGTGTTTAGAAAAGTTAAACTGGATTCAATTTCTTACAGAAATAACCAAAAAAGAATTATTTTCGATTTGGCCAATGCATCAGGCTTTCCACAAAGAAGAAGCTACCATATACTTTTACCTTCATAGATGACCCTAAGACAAATTAGCAATTTATAGCAAGGTTTACCCGTTCATCAAAACCGTGGCAAATCACGGAATCACACTCCTCGAACGCAAGCAAGGTAGATTTATTTATAGATCCCAGCGTAATATTTACATCACACCAAAACACAAACTAAATGTTAATAACCCTGCTCAGCTTGTGGACGCGGTTCAGCAGAAGGTCGCCCTGTTTCACGACGTTCTTGAACACCTCGTATTTAGCGTTCTTGGGGACATTAACTATCGTCTCATTTACCTTATCGATCTTATAGTTCAGCCTTCCGCCGGCTATGAAATTACTCACGTCGTCCTCGATGAATTCTGGAGAGACACCGAATTGGTCTGCCATGTACGCCAAGCCTACCGAGATGTAAGTGGAGAGCAGTTGGTCGTACGCTTTTATTTTCATTTCTCGGACGTAGAACCTGTAATGGGAGTGCAGGAACATATCCTGCCTCATTAAGTTCTCCACATCCGCTAGTCTTAGGAAAAAAGTCTTGTAGTCGCAATCGTACAGAGAAGTCAAGTACTCTCCCAAGGGTTTGTTGAAGTACAAGGCCTGTTGGATGTCGGGGTTGTCTATGAGGTTCTTCTTCACCTCGCTCCTGTTCAATGTCAACACCGCGGATAAGACCGTATACTTTGCAAAATCCTCCAACGAGATCAGCTCGGTGCAAATGAACGTGGATATAGCACTCACGAATATGGCTGTAGCCGTGGCGAAGTCCCTGACTGTTAAGGAGTACAGAGCCTTGCACATCTTGTAACAGTTCCTGCTATGCCAATCAGCACCTAGTTCTAGCAACTCTTCGGAACGTTGTAGGTTCGTCTGGATCAGGTTCAAGTCCATGAAGAACAATCCTACGCGGATGCAATGGAACAGGTTGTCCAGTTTGTAACCCAGAGCGACGGTTTTGTCGTAGGCTTGTCTCAGCGTTTGGATCGTTGCGTCCTTGTCTCCTATTTGGCTCAAGTAGTTGGCTTTATTTAGGAACGCTTCCTTCGCGTCTACCACGCTTAGGTTGTTAACGGCGTATTCTATTTCTTCGTCGAAGGCCTCCAAAGCTTTCTCGTTCCGCTCTTGCATCGCTTTTAATAGGTTGTCGTTCATCGTCCATCGGAGATCAGCGCATACTTTTTGGTAGTAAGGCGCCATATCGTTGGTGGTGATGCTGTTGAGTAACTGGGATTTTTTCGCTTGGTCCTTTGCGTGCTCGGGTAGGCTCAACTGGAATTTTAATTGGGCTAGTTCTAAATCTGGGTTCTTCAGTACATCATCAACATTTGCTAGTTTCTCCTCACTTCTTAATTTTGTTGGTTTAATTTTTTGCGCGGGCATCTTGTTTTAATACAATTGGAACATGCAAAATGTAATGATGATGACGTGAGTGACATTTTAACCTCATTACACATTATTCTGACAACGTAGAAGTGGGTAACTTGACATTACATCATTCAATCTCCATTATATATTTCGTTTCTGCTTCAACAGAAAAATATTCCGCCTCAGTACCCTCCAATCGATACAGCATTGCCTTGAGCTCGCGTTACACAACATTTACTTATTGAGAAAGAGAATAATATTTACCTGTCTTCCTCGAAGGGAGCAGAGCCACCACCCCTCGATGTTGGCGGTGTTCTGTTCCAGTACAATCAAGGTGTCGCCCTTGCGGAAGGGCAGCTCATCTGGGGAGTCCGCTGTGTTGTCGTATAGAGCTCGTGCCAAACAATGCTGCAACAAACAAAAACAACTTAGGATTTCGACAACTGCCTAGGTACAACCGCAAACTATTTGCGATTTATCAATGAAGAGAAAAAGGGGTGTTGAATGAAATGTGTTTCACAAAAACACAGCGGGCCACTTGACGCAAAGCGGATCCATGGAAAGTAACAGGCGTTGTGGTAATGTGTAAAGACATTATTAAGCGAAGGTTAAATTTCTGTATCGAAAATAATGGTATGTATTTCGAGCATTTATAAACATCTTTATTTTTGTTAAAATTTAATTGTTTTTTCGTTACATAATATCAGTATCTGTTTGTTATTGTTTTTGTTGTTGAGTGGGTATACTTTCTCCAATATCGTACCTCGCCGATCTTAGTGGGACACCCTGTATATCACTGGCATAATACTCGTTCAATGACCATCACGCAAATTTTTTATTAAAATATTTGGACATCATCATTAACGAGATTTGCAAATTAGCATATGTTTGCAAAAAATTGTGGTGTAAATTTCCGCGAGTAGATAAATTACATTTGTAAACAAACACGTGTTTAATCATCAGACAACTCGAGAATTTGTTAATACAGTTAACACTTTTAGCATGAAATGGAACTAATTAAATTATCGGATAAAAGAAACAGCTAAACTGAAATTCGATTAATTGTTCGGAAAAGCCACTATAATAGTAGGCACTTAGAGTCGATATACAGGGTGTTCCCGAAGGCATGGTTTCAATTTTAAGGAACTATAACTGACGCCCAAATACTAACAAAACACATCCCTAACAAACTTTTGACATGAATGTGAATTTATAAGAAAGAAAATTCTCAACATTTACACACAATGGAGTGAAGAACTTTGCTAAGAATCGCCTGTCAAGTCAAGTATCATCTGTAACATTTAAAAAAAAGTTGGGACGGTGTCAAATATTGGAACTCAAAAAATTGTGGAAATTATTGCTACAAATATGCTCCTTTACGTACTTCAATACTAATTTAATATACTTTTATGTATATTAAGAGTCATATCTCGTCATCGATAAGATAACGAGAAATATATAAACCCAATTCTGGAAAATATTCGATAACGTCTAAATATAGATAGACAATGGTTACTTGCTGAAAAGAAAACGGGTTTAATACTACTTAACAAGCTGAATTAACAGTTATTATTAGCATGAGACAGGGGTCAGTGAGCAATTACACAGAAGATATCTGAAATAAAGCTGAGTTTGTTCAATTAACGTTTGGACTGTAAGCACAAGACAACAGGAAATTAAAGAGATGATAACAGAATTACCGATGTTCTTGATTGTAGATAATAATTATAATAAGATTAAAAATATATATTTGTACTTATATTAGTTTCTATGTAGTGTTTTTATATACCTACGACATAGAACTCAAAAAGTACATTTTGTACAATTAATCTTCGAATCTTTGACGAATCTTTGGAGTGTGCCTGCATCATCTGGAGCTACGTTTAGATAAAACATTTAATATAAGATTTTTTTCGCAGATATACACTAATGCAAATAATTAAAGAATTTCCGAAATTTTTCCGTGATTTTTGACAGACTTGAGGACACTTAAGCAATGAGACACAAAGGCAATACTTTGTCTATACGCCACTCTAGCCGTGTCGAATTTCAGAATTCCTTCTCTGTTTACTTAGGACGCGCTTCCAAGAAAAGCGATCTCCAACAAATTCTGGATATTACTTACAAAGTAATCTTTCGCTGTAGACATGCCACAGGAAACCCACTCTTACTGACGCAACAGAAAACTCAATGAATCAGCTGTACCTCGGTAAGAATATGGGTACACATCAAGTTAGTCACGATAGAAGGGATTCCACAATGGAGGGTGTCAATAAGCCTTGTATCTGGGACGTTAATTGAGTTTTATGCTAAAGTGGCACAATTGAAAGTTTAAAATAGGGTGGGCTTAGACGGAGGGCAGCTGGCTGTGGATAGGATCGTGTTTTCCCTTAATTAGAAGTTTGGGGGCCCTTAAAAAATTAAATCATTATTCACATTCGTTGGGCAAGTTACGGAAGTTGTCAAGTTGATACTTCAATATTTGCTTCAGTTTTCGTCAAACCCGATAACTAATCACATTCTATCCGTTTCTGTTTTCATATTACGTGCTTTATTTTACAGAAAAATTACTTTATTTTACAAGAAAATGCTAAAAATAGCAAATAATGTTACAAAAACCAATAAAAATAAAGTTTACTTTGACGCAACTTACAGAAAAGTACCTGAAAGCGTATCCACTAATTGCTATTAGCAATATACTAAGCAAACTATTAAAAATGCAAATAGAAACCTCGTAAACAACGTGTCTTTAAATTAAATTCGCGAGCTAATCAGCTATCTCCATATAATCAGTAAATAAGATTTTTTTCATCGAGAAACCGTTGATTAAACCGTAAATGGCAAATGGCCGGTGAAACATTGCATATTCCCATGCGATTGAGTGTTTATTCTACGACACCAGCCGTAGATATATCTGTGACAGCAAACAATGTATTGTAAAACTGGTATTGAATAAATTACTATTTATTACTGTGCATGTAATTTTTTTTCGATCCATCAAGTTAGCTTAGAATATAATTATTTCCACTTTCTAAAGAATTACTATTTAAAAAAATATCAATAAAACTTAAATGTAAACCCTGTATAGAAAATATCTTTCTCATGATACAGGTTGCTGTAATTTACGTTGTTGTCTACTTAATATAAATCAATGTTACGCTTATTAACATCGACTTCATACGAATATCACAATTAAACTAGGCACCAAATAAGGACTCTGGGTAATTACACGATTTTATATCTCCCTTTCCCAACTCCTTTGAGAACGTCGGTGTCACAATTAATTTGTCACAACAGCCCCGACGTTTACCAAGCACGGGGTGTCAGTAAAGAAGCATTTTTATCGCTTTTTAACGATCCCCACGTATCCTTGACTGAACAAACAAATTTGTAAGGTTCCACGGCATTGTTAGTAAAAAAAATACCCTTCACATGTGTTTCTACGATTCCAAGCTTCGAGGGGAGTCGGGATAATATTGATTTAAGGGCGTGTATCTGTTTTCTCAGGCAACTTCACCACTTAACGACTTTGTTTTAAAATTCTTTAATGCTGGGAACATACTCCGTTCGCTGTTAGAGGGCGTGATGTCTTATAAATATTAATAAGACATTCCGGCGGGCATTCCGGGGAAAAATACCTCCAGGTGTCGAAAAGAGTGTGTAATTCCACCCTTAAGCAGATGGACTTCATTCACGGAATAACCTAAATGGATAATACGAATTTTATAGTGAATTTCCCAAGCAACGTCTAAAATAGCTAATAACCCCCGTTGCCCTTCGTAAGCGTTCCGAACAGGATCGGATTCTGCTTAAATTTTAACCGCTCATGGTTTAATTTTGTCGCTGTCTTGTTTACATTGAATTAACTTAATATGTTTAGCACCTATTGCCTAGTAAAGTGTATAATAAGAGGAAAGAGTAGAAATGTATCGTATTTTTTTTAAATTACATCATTTTTAAATTTCCTAAGTGCGTCCTTATCTACTTTACGTATTGACAGTAATAATTACTTATAAAATGCAATTTCTTTATGTCAAAGGCGATATAATGTATGGAAGTGTACGAATCTAAACGACAATAGCAGTTCCAGTCCAGCAACACAATTATCTTCTAAATTTACAAGTATGTCACGGTTGTGAACTAAAGACACAACGTATACGCCACATATAATATATAGCCAATGAACCTGTACGATTTAATTGCTCTAATGAATCACTGGTCACATTAATCCACTCCTAAATTTAAATAAAGGTTATGTCATCTAAGTGTTTCAATTAACTGTCATTTTATTCGCTCTTAAAATTTAATAACACCGTTTAATTCTGAACTAATCAGGTAGTAGTAGTAGATTAATAATAAAACAAGCATTTTTATATATTTTATCGGGTAAAAAATGCAGATAAGTTTAAGTAATTTTGTGGAACGTGCCAATCCGCAGGAATATGTAAATTTACACATTATTGCCATGCGGTTTACCACAGGTTATTGCGCCAGGATCATATGTGGTTTTCATTAAAAAAATAACATAACTTCAACTTAAACACAAAAAACATGAATGGAATCAACGCCATAGAAGAACAGGCAAAGATAAAACAGATATTGAAAATTTGTTCGGAAACTAAATTGCAAATTGATAAATAATATCTAATCTAATTATTTAAAAATAAAAAACTTTTTTTCCTCTTCAATATTCTTCCAAAATGCATAGGATCCAAGAAATAAGTAAAAAACTCAGATAAAATAAGTATTCTTTTAGATTTTTAAACATTTTTTGCAATTTTGAAAATGGTCTAAAGAGAAACTCCTGGATATTACACGAGATCTTGCAACCTATCCAATCGGCCTATTGGAAGCGGGCACTGCCATTTATTTTAATTGAATTAGATAGCCCACTTCGCCCAGCGATATTGCTAAACCAATCAATACGGAACCATTAACCCACAAGGAAATTGGTCGAGACAGCAAGGCAATCTGTTTAAATTTCCTACACTGAGTTTCAGGCAGTGGATAATGTAATCTGCTGTTACAATGTGAACGAAGATGAATAAGATGCAAGGAACAAGGGAACTGATGATGAAATACAAATGGTTTTTAATTGTTGTTGTCTGTCGTCAATGAACCGTCAGAAAAACGCGAGTGATATCTATTGCCAAGAATTTTTTTGTCTAAAAATCTTGAAACTAGAGACTTAAAGCTTCAAAACTATTTTTTGTATCTTGATACTACCATTTTTCACTACAGCCTTTTGAAAATCAGTAAAAGGAATCCTTAAAATTTTTTCCACTAGTGTATGTATAACGGGGTAGAAATGAAATTACTACCACAAACAGACAACTTTTTTCATTCTAAGTTGACACCTCGAAGGTAAACACTTTTATAGATTATATACAAGGCACGGATATATCTTA